TTGTTCCTTGTGCAGATTGTCCAGTTGAAGTCGTTGAAGCTTGGATTGTCGGATTTGCTTGCGTCGAGGCGACTTGGGAGCTTGAAGGCCGAAGTTGTCGCTGTGGTGTCGTCGACTGCTGACGAGACGGGCAGTGCGTGCGAGGATGACCCGAAGTCTTGCAGATGTGGCAGAACGGAGGTACCGTTTTCACTTGTTGCTGTTGTCGATTGTTGTTCTTGTATCGTCGCTGAGTGTGAAAAGCAAACTCCGGTACTAATGTTTTCTTCTTGTGTCTTTCTTCTTGCAGGTCCATGTCTTGCTGCTCGGCATGGATTTCGGCGCAGAGTGCCGCTTCGGAGATCCTCCCGTGTGCTCGTAATATGGCGTGAGTGGAGCGCCAGTGGGGGCCGAGACCGCCGATGACCACTGTGACAAAGGCGTCTTCTGAAATCGACCCTCCGCATCGAAGAAGCTTGTCGCGCAGTTCGCGGCAGCGGGTGATATAAGCCATGCCTTTCTCGCCTGGTTTCATTTCAATTGTTGTCAGCTGCGCCATTAACCTGCTTTGATTTACGCTGTCTGTTGCTTGATACAGGTTCTTCAGGTGGTTATACGCGAGCTCCGCGGAGTTGCCGTAGCCTCGGTAAGTTCTGATGTTCTGCTGCTGAGTCGGGGTGATGTTTCTCAGCAATATTGTGTACGCCATCATTGATTGATAGGTGTACTGCTGCTTCTCATATTGCGTCCCGTTTGTTGGATATGGCAGGGACCCATCGAAGAAACCGAGAATCTGTGCTCCTTCCATCATCAGCTCGAACTCGAACGACCAGGTGAAGAAGTCTTTTCCGTCGAAAAGCTTTGTTGTTTGCAGCTTTAGGACATGCGCGAATTGCGATTGAACTTGTAATGCGTCCAGTGCTCTTTCTTGTCCCGGTGCAGATTGCGGTTGCGGCATGAAGCTGACGGAGCCACGCTGGGGCTCGTATGGAGCAAAGGTAGGCTGTTGTTGTTGTCCAACAGCTGGGTCTACGGAAACGCCCGCGGGCAGGGCTCAGGTTTCGTTTTTGCCTACTCCCGATTGGCAGTGTAGGGTTTTTGAAAACACTTGCAAGCAGTGTGAGTTTTTCCCGTACACTGATAGAGCAGTGTAACATCAACTTTTTAAAAATTTGCACTAGGACGTCAGTGTAGTTACGTGATGTGCACTGATGCATGCAGGCTAGGACTTTTTTTATTACACGTGATCAATTAAACAATCAAATTTTAGTCACTCAATATCCATCATGCTCGTCCTCGCTATCAGACGACTCCCCTATTGCCATGCCCTTTCCAACACTGCGATTGTATGGAGCTGTTGATTTAGCGGGTCTCCTCTTCTTCTGCTTCCGCCAGATGTCGACCACGTCGGCCCATTTGTACTCATAGTCAAGCATGTTGAGAGTCATCAGCTCGGATAGACGGGCGTCGCCGAGCGATGTGCGCATCCAGCTTTTGATAACGTTTTGGCGGCTGAATCCGCGCTCGCACTCCACGGTGCTCAACGGAATCACTGCGAGCGCCTGCCACATCGACACCAGGTTGGGGAAGCTGCGTGGCCAGTCCTTGGTCTTCAGCATCTTCGACAGCCCTTGGTAGAAGTCCTCATCCTCGTAGTGTCGCGACATGACGTGGGAGAAGCACTTCAGTTCCAGCTCCGCCGCTCGGTGGTTGAAGCCTGCCACGTGAACATAAGACAAAAGGCACAATCATTAGTCTACCGACTTCGCACATGCAAACAGCACTTGGACGGGAGTTTTTTGCCACGCACGCATCAACACACCTGGCAGCCTGTTCAAGAAGACACGCGCATTGGAATCCAGCCACTGTACGACCCGTCGCTCCCGTTTGTCTGTCGCTTCTGGCCACGTCTCCACCTTGTATAGCTTGCTGCCCTCCATGTCCTTCAGGCTATACATGCGTGTGTGCAGATTTGTCGCCACCTCCAGCGCAAACGCCTTACAGAGCTTGATGCAGTCGGCCATCGTGCCGCCGAACTTGTGTCCTTTTATCGGCTCCTCGCTCAGCACGATCTCATGCGATGTTGGCTCGCCCTCCGAATCCACGCCGTCCACTTTTATCTTCCTTTTCCCATTGGCCATACGTGCGATGAAGGGCGACAGCAGGTTGCTGACTCCCCCCCCGAAACCGTTGTCGTATTCCACGTAGCGCAGCCTGATGCAAGAGATCGTGCGGTCCACCACCTGGTGCACGAGCGTGATGTCAACCTGAGATAACCACGGGTACAATGAGATTGCGTTAAAACATTATTCAATTTTGGCAAAGCGAACGCACACGAACCAGCAACACATGAATCACTTACTTTCCGTCGCTGGAAGAATTTGTTGAGGGCGTTGATCTCTGCAAGTAGATCCGCCAAGAAGTATACGCAGAAGTGGAACTTCAGCGTCTGAAGCGTAGCGGCCAACTTGTGGCCGTACTCGATGAACACCACGACCGCCGCACCGAGGACCTTGCACAGCCGCTGCACAGCATCTCCACGCGACAGCCACCTCACGTCAAAAAGCCCCTGGTGCTCCAGGTTTGTCTTGTGAAATTCCTGCTGCAGCTCTTTGAACCGCTCATGCCAGACGGAAGACTTGGTGACGATGTCGCCAAGCCCTCGGATTGCAGCATCGACGATGTCCAGGTCCTTGTACTTCAGCGCCGACTCCTTCACAGCTAGTGCTTCTCTGCACAATAAAACGTTTAGCATTAGGACACTTTTACAAGTAGGATTGAGCAGTATGTGTTGAACGTAAACGACACTTACCTATGTGCGATGCAGTGCGTGCCGACAAGATGAGGGATGCGCTCACGGAGGCGCACCACAAGCCCCCTCTCGCAGCCAACCATCACACCCGCGCCGTCTGTGCTGATGGCGGCGATCCTCTGCAGATCTATGCCAACGGTCTCCAAGTGGGCCAGCAGGACGGTGAAGATTGAAGCAGCGTCACACTTGTGGACCGTCAGCAGCGCAAAGAACTCGGTCGCCACCTGACGATGCTTCAGGAAAGTCACGAACACCACCAGATGCTTCCCGCGTGCTCTGTCCGTGCTCTCATCACAGCTGATGCCGATCCAAGGTGACGCGTGTACGTGCATGAGCTGTTGTTGCTGCTGATAGGAGCTCATTGCCTTCACCATCTCCTGGAAACCGTACCTGCAAGAAGCGCACACACAGATTAGTCATCGACGAGGTTGTGATCACATCCTCTACATGGGATACCCGCCCTGTACTCACTCAGTGATGTAAACGCCGTAGCCCTGCTGAGGGATGTCCGAAATACCCTCCCTGGCCAGAAACTCCACGAGGCGCGGGAACATTGAGATCGGCGCGTCCTCGTCGCACACAAACTGAATGCTCCGCATGAGCCTGACCACGCGCGCGCTCTCAGGGTCGGCTCTCTCGTAGTCGTCTATCTTCTTCTGCGCCGCCAGCTTGTCGAGAAGCCCCCTCTGACGGTCGATGCACTCCTCGTGGCGAGTGCTTGCCTGGTGCGCACGCATAGACGCTGGCTGCAAGTCGCGTCCACCGCAACCATTCCTCCCGTAACGTGCGTTGTCTGGGCCATGTTCACTGCACACACTGCAACGCAAACGAGGCAGCCCATCCTCACCCTTGTCGAGCAATAGCCAGTCGAACTGCGGGAGCCACTTCGTGATGTAGTTTCGCTGAGCCTCCAGGAACTTCGCAGCATTGCGTTCCGAGGCAGTCAGTTTGAGAGGAGACGGCGCGGGAGTAACAGTGGAAGGTGGCGGAGGAGGAGGTCTCACGAGAGGCGTGCCGGTGCCAAACCCAATGGTCGTCTGCATGTAGCGGGGTCGTTTCAGCGCCACCGAGTTAGAAGATTCAGGTGCTTCCGTAACGATCTCCGTCGTTACCACGTGGTCGCGGACGACGGTGTCCGCATCGTCATCGTTGTCTTGCTCCTGCTGCCGCGATGGTGACTGTGGCGGAACTTTGCGCACGGGATAGTGCCACCCCTCACTGTCAACATACGTCTCTGGCAAAGGGTTGGGTGCAGCTTCTGTAACATGGCCTCGCAAGAAATCGAGGCCAGTCCTAGGCCTGGTGCTACTAGACGGGTCTCCATCACCACCACTAGCTTCGTAAGGGTCTCCAGGAGGTGCCATGGGAACGAGCTAGACATCGCTCGGGTACTAGAAGGGGTGGTACAAACAGGAGGCGGAGAGGGGTGGTGGTGGAATGACGCTGCGGGGAGATGTCGGTGGCAGAGTATGTGGTCCTAATGATTACACAAGTTCAGGCGGCAATACTGTATTTGCTGCCAAACCGGAGTTTCGTGGCGAGCTGGCAAGGGAATCTTGCCTAAGTGACCAATCAGACGCGTGACTGCGACCAGTGCAAGTCCTGAACAGAAGGTAACCTTGGTACTTGCGTGATTGACGGAAATCACGCTCTGACAAATTTCTGTGGTTTTTTTTGGGGGGGGGGGGGGGGGGGGGGGGGGGGGGGTGTTCTGTACGCTCAACAGTGTAAACTTCGATAACTATAAAATTACCCACAGCATCAGTGTGGCAAAAAACGATACACTTCCATATCAGTGTAACACATGTTCAGTGAAAATTTACCCCAGAGGCTAAGTGTATACCAAAAAAATCACCCTTCTAATCAGTACAGAAGGGTAAATTACACTTCAAACCTGAGCCCTGTTCCTCACTTTCTGTACCTTTTTATTGGAGTATTGCTGCTCACTTTTTATGTGCGACCCTCCAAACCGCCTAGGTTTTTTTTTCTAGTGCAGTGCAGGTGAGTTACCTATCAGGTAACGATATGCACACTCCGCCAACCCCTGTTTCAGTTCGCCCATGCGGAATTGTTTCGCACAAACTCTTAACTCCTAACCTGTTTGCTGAGGTATTACACAAGCAACGAATCTGTGGCATTCACTCATGTTTACATGTATTCTGCAAGGCAGGCAAGAAGCAGACATGTTGCGCACGCCCAAGTCTAAGAACTATTGAGTACCATAGCCCATGGAAGCCTGAAAACCGGGCTTTGAGTAGGAAGCAAACAACTGGAATGGCAACCAGAACTGACAGCTTTGTCACCAGAGGCTGTCGAGAGCAAGCATTCCAAAGCTTGCGAAAAGGCCACCCCCAATTCTGCTGTTCCTCCTCCTTTCCAAACTCTGCTGCTGCTGCTGCGGCTGCTTCTGCTTCAGCTGCTGCTGCTTGCATCCAGTGCATCGCTTCTCGCAAGTGGCTCACCTCCCTCTCCACCTGCCCCTGCAGTGCACACAGCTGCTTCCAAGCAGCATCCACGCGCTCCTGTCTGCAAGCAAGCGCACTGTGCAAGGACTGAAACTTCTCCTGTAAACTTGAAGGCGCTGCTGCTGAGTTCAGGGCGGGAGAGGGTTGAAACATGTGCGCCAACTGCTTGTTGAGATGAAGGTAGTTGTCAGAGGCCTGATGGGTTGGGTGTGGCACCGGGCATGTGAATGGACGTGGACACGAGGAGATAGGCATGGAGAAGAACAGGTGGAAATGGTGTTGCCGTGAGTGGTCATAGGAACACAGGTGATATCGCATTGGACAGGGTTCCAAGAAATAAAGGAAGGAGATAAAACGGGGGCAAGAAGCAGAAAATAAAAAAAAGCCCAAGAATTTATAAGGTTCTAATGGTGACGAAAGAGTCACGACAGGAGATCAAAGCAAAAAGAAGGTGACATCAGTCAAATGAAGAAAAAGAGTGGCAGAGGTGTGAGAGGTAGGCGAGTGGGAGGTGGCGAACCTTGACCACGGTGCTGGCGAGATGGCCGAGGTGACCGAGGAAAGAGAGGAGGAGGGGAGACGCGGTTTGAATAAGCGGCAGAGCCTCCTTCTGCACGTACTCATCCACCTGCCACTTCACATCACCGTTTGCCTGCCACTTCACATCTCCATTCGTCTGCTGCAAACCGTCGCCATTCGCCAGCAGGAACGCACCCTCAATCTGCTCCTGCTGCCAACCCAGGTCCCCATGTGCCTGCTGCTGCTGCTCCTGCTCCTGCTCCTCCTGCTCCTGCTCCTCCTGCTCGTCCTGCTGCTGCACGGTGCGTGGCTGCAGGATGACGTGCTTTCCAGTGACCAAGTCGTCGATGCGTCGGTGTGCGGCTCTGATTACCACCACCTCCTTCTCGACCTTGGGAAATGACGCCGCCACATCTGGAAAGAGGGGTGGCGGGGGCGGAACGGCGGTTATTGGAACGGGGCTTGTTGGTCTGAGAGTGGTGCACGGAAAGGAGATCCAGGGCGGGTATTGTGAAGGACCGTTGACCTCGAGTGAGCGGGAAAGTGAAACAGTGAGTGGGTGGAAGTTAGAGAGTGAGTGAGGTGGGTTGCTGTGCGGGGTGAGAGAGAGGAATGTTAACGGTGCGGAAGAGGAAGTGCGCTTGCGGAAATGAGAGCGGATGGACTGGAAGTTAAGTTAACGCGTGCACAAGATGCATAACGCCAGGGAAATCCGTGACGGAGACGAATCTAAGACAAGCGCGCCGCCACGCAGGTCTGTAGACACAGCAGCCACACTCGATAAAAAGGAGAGCGCATGTTAAGGTAGAAAAGAGAGGGCGCAGGTCTCGTCGCAGCGGGGGTTGCAGTGATGGTACCTTGCATGACTGCGGGGAAGTTAGCGAGAGGGTAATGACACGCGGCTTCGAAGGGGCGCATGGAGAGGCGTACGAGGCGGCGCAGCCGGGGCAAGTGGTCTTGCGCGTATGTCTGGGCATGGAGCAGCACGGCGGACATGGCCTTGGGGTCGTGCTCTGAGCACAGCTGCTGCAGCACCGTCAGAACATCCGCAACGCCGATGGGTATATCCTCCACGGATCTGACTAGCTCCTGAACGACGTGGTCCTCCGACACGATTTCACCCATCGTGCTACGTTGTATGCGAGACGCGTAGGGAAAAATTTTGGTCTGGTATTGAGCTCAGCTTTCTAGGTTTGTTTTGTGGGGTTGCGTGGGATTCTAGGAAAATCTCCTCTGACGATTGTGTGACACGCCACATGTGGCGATGGAAAATCCTCTTTTCAGCATCTCCCTGGAGATGGATAGGGCAAAACATTTGTTTTGAGTCGTCAACTCAAATTCTTGAGTTGAGAATTAAGACACAACATATTATCAACAGAGATTACATACAGGTTAATCAATACATAGATTGAGGGTGATATTGCTCAAAGCATGCACTCAATAGTATCAATTATAGGATTTCGTGAGAGTGCTTTTACCAGTGCATAATGTGCGGGAGCATTTAGCAGCTACAAATTAGACGCGCATTCTCAATATCGAAGAGATCACGCAAACACACCCTCGCGGCCAGCTTGGCGCGCCGCACACGACAGGACGCGGAGCCCACATCCGCGACCAGTCGTCGCGTGCGTTGCAGGGGCAGGAAACAATTTTCCGGATGTCCCGGTTCCCATTCTGTTTCTGGATATAGGCCAACCATGTTGCGTCTTGCGGTTTATTATAAACACCAAGCTTTTCAGGGTCACGGTCAGGATACTTGTTTACGCTTCCACTGAAAGGTCCTTCGCATTTCCGTTACCGAAGTCTAACACAACCGTGACACACAAAACTAAATCCCAGGCCAATTTCCCGCAACACGATAATCGCGCCTCCTGCTTTCACTCGGTAGCGAGCACCCCCGTCGACTCCACTCCACCTCCACATGACCAGGCCTGTCGATGTTCCTGGGGCCCATACTTGGAGCCCCCAGCTCCTCCCTATCTGACCCTGTATTGGCCGTAGCTGAGTGTTTTGGCGCCCTTAACGGTCACGGGCGCAGGCCGAAGTGGAAACTTGATATCCGGGCTTGCACTTACACTCTCTTAGCTAAGGGAAAGTTCGGCTGCTCCAAAGCTGACTTAGAGAGATCACAAACACGGGATTGGCTAGAAAACGCTAAGGGAAAAATCCCCTTGGCGCGCTCTCGTGCAACCGAGGAGAGAGGGGGGGGGGGGGTGGAGTGGGGGGGTCGGGCAGAATTTCTTGGGGGGGTCCCTAAAACCGGAAATCAAAACTTTGTGGGTGGGGAAGGCCTGTTTGGAGCACTTAACGCATCCGGGATAGGGTCGAACGAAGCACTTAGTCGCATGGGTACAAGGCGGTCCTAACACTTAATGCAGTCGAGCTGGAGCGAAAGTAGCCCGGAATTTCAGGGCATTAAGGGCATATGCCCGTCAATCGGCAGGCCTGCACATGACACATGAGCCACGGATTGGCTCTAGCTAGATAGACCTTAGGAGGGTTGGCTTCACCTTTCCACCAGTCACCCCACGCGCACGACCCATTATCCACCACCCCTCTCCCACCCACCCGTCCATCGTGACCCCCCAATAGGCCTCCTCAAATTACCGCACCACCTCCCGGGCGAGAATCAGTGTGCCAGTCATCCTCCACTGCACTCCCGCACTCAGTGAAAACACACACCCACCTTTCTTCACTTCCGTCTCGTACTGACTCTAGATGTCCTCTTTGCGTGCTCCCAAGCTCCCTCTTGCGTCGTGCAACAGAGATAGAAGCCCCTAATTGACCCTTCCTCTGCCCGTCCAGGCGCCTTCGCTCTTCGCTTGTTGGTCCCACCCACGCAGCATATCCATTGCCGGCCGTACCCCAGCTCTCAGCGCCCCGCGTAGCCCAAGACGCGAATTAGGCGGACAGAGCGCGAGGAAGCGGAAAGGCATCAAGGCGCAGAGGCGCAGAGGCGGAGAGGCGGCAAAAGAGTGGTATTGTTTGGCGGGCGGGAGGCGGGCGGCATGGCGTCGTTCACGGGGACGCAGAGCAAGTGCAAGGCGTGTGCCAAGACGGTGTACCCCATGGAGCAGCTCACGGCCAACGGCATCATCTTCCACCGGGCCTGCTTCAGGTGCGCCCCGCGCCCCCGCGCCCCGCACCCCGCACTCTGCCACCGTCGCGTCGCGTTCTCTAACAAGGCGCGAACACGCGTGCAGACCATCGCCGTTGCTGCCGGTTCACCACCCGAACCAGTCAAACTCCGTACTCTGTACTGAATTTCACCTTAATGCGGGGAATGGCTGGTACTGAGACGCCTCGATACCAGCCTTGCATCGTAGCCGCACAGTCGCGCGCCGTTCGTGCTTCTCTCTCTCCTTGTAGTTCTCTTCTGCTCCTGTCCGTGTCGTGCTCCTCTGCGCATTCCGTGCGGACAAGCGATTCCTCCTCGCGTCCTGCCATTCCTCCTCGTCCATGCCACCGACCACGGTCTCGAGCGCGCGGCGCCGCACGTGTGAGACGAGGTCCTGGCACCGTGCCGGAACGCACTAGCGGCTCGAGCCGCCAGAGCTTTCGTTTAGTCGCCGGAAAAAAATCGCTCCGCAACTCGAGCGGTTTGAACCCTTGAAGTCACGAACACTGCATGCAACGTCTACCGTTGAGCTCAAATTGAGTCGAAAGACGCTAACATCAAGCTACCCTATGCACAGGTGAAGAACGAATTCTTATCTCCGCCTCCTTCCCCTCTCCGCCCAACCCTCTCCGCTTCTCTCCCTTTCCCCCCTCTCAGATGCGCGCACTGCAAAGCCACCATTTCGGTAAGTGCCGAGACACGCGCCAGCGCGGAGAAGGTTAGAACTGCAGTTCGCAAGGGACGAGCGAAAATGGGAATGACAGTGCTCGGAGGACGAGCGGCGAGGGGGATGAGTGCGTGCGGAGGTCAATTTCACACGATCGGGGCAAATGATTGACCGGGAGATTTTGATAGGGCAATGCAAAGGGCGCGTGTACATGATTGAGAACCGATTAAAGCTCTCACTTTCACTATATTTCAGTTTCACTTCACTTTCGCACCTGCACCCACGCCCGTCACGCTTCCCTCTTTCTCCTCCCCACACCTGTTCTCCTCTGCTCCTCCCTCCCGTCGTCCTTTCCACTTCCCGCCTTCCCACCCGATCTTTTCTGTTCATCCACTCCCGTTCTTTGCCCCTCCCGTCTCCTAGCGTCTCCCCTCCTCCTTCCGTCTTTCCTCTATCTCCCTTCACCGTTCGCCTGCCGCCGTCCCTCCCCCTCCCGCCTCCCCTCCCCTCCCCCGTTCCCGCCCCCCCGCAGCTGAACTCGTTCGCGGCGATCGAGGGCGTGCCGTACTGCAAGCCGCACTTCGAGCAGCTGTTCAAGCAGACGGGGTCGTACACGCGCAGCTTCGAGGGCGCCATCAAGGCCGAGAAGGACGCCACGCCCCCCCCCGAGAGTGAGCTAACGCACGCGTGGGGTTGGCTTGAGGGGGGGTAGGGGGGCCGGGAGGGAAAGTTGGGGGGGGGATCAGGCGGACGGAAGCGGGAGACTGGGGGAGGATACGGGGGAAGGCAGGGGAATTGGCGGGTGTAAGGGGAATATGGGGGGAATAAGGATGGAGAGGCGAGGGAGAGTAGGGAGAGCGAGGGTCAGGGGAAGAGGCGTGCGGATATGGTTGAGGTGTCGAAGAGGAGAGGGGTGAGAGAGAGGAAAGGGGCTCTCTGTATTGGGAGTAACCCCGTGATAGGTTTACTACAGCAGGGACCAATGCTAGCAGCTCCGTGCCAGCCCTGTCATGCTGTGCCGTGTGCTGTTGCGTTGCATTGTCTCGTTTCCATTCCACACTTGCTTCTGCTCGGAACCCCACCCTCGCGGCCTCCTCTTGTCTCAGTGATCCAATTATGTGTCCCTCGTGTGTGTGTTCCGACTTCCCCCCATGCTCGCTGCCCATGCCCCCAACAGGCCTCACGCCCTCAGCAGTGGTCAAGGCAACCGAGAAGGTGAGCCCTCATTCGCAAGGTTAAAAATTACAAGGTTAGCCATCCTCCGCCATCACGCACTGCCCTCCGCTTAGCCGCTCTATCTCGTGCTCCGTCTCCCCTCCCGCCCACTCCGCTTCATACGCCCCCTTCCCCTCCGCTCCCCATCCCTGCCTTTTCCCTGTTTCCCCCGTTTCCCCCCTCGCTCCCCCCGGCAGCGGTCGACGCCCAGCCCCCTGGCGCTCAAGTTCGGCGGCACGCAGGACAAGTGCAAGGTCTGCAGCAAGACCGTGTACCCGCTTGAAAAGGTGCGCGCACGCAGGGGGCGGGGAAATCGTGGGGAAAAGAGGGGTAAAAGGGGGGGGGGGAGGGGGGGGGAGGAGGGAAGGGAGTGGGGCCGCTGGGGAAGAGGGGGACGGGGAGAGAAAAAGGGGAGGGAACAGTGTGTGGGAAGGGAGAACCATGCAACGAAGGCATGTGTCCACTATGTGCATCCGATCACTGCCCCTCTCGCCACGACCCGTGCATAGCTTAACACATGCCCCGTTCTCCCCAGTCCCTCCGCCCTTGATTTGAATCCTCTCATTCCGCGCCGGATAAGCATGAACAGCAGCACGATCAGTCTTTCAAATGTGCCGCACAGCCACAGCAGCCTTCCAGATCCTTCACATCACCACGACCGTGCATGCCCCCTTCAGCCACCTCACGTCCCAATTCCTCCTTCCCCGCAACTTTGCCCACAACACGGCCGGGGCCGGTATACGCTTCTATGCAGTGCTTCCAAGTCCACTGGTGTGTAGGCTTACGAGTTAGAGCCACCACATCCTCTTTTGAGGCGCCTCGATAGGTCATCCCACCACCCCCCAGCCCATCCTCACCACACGCTCTGCCCTGCCTTGCTCCCCCCATGTGCCTGCCTGTGCATGTTCCATGCAGCAGATCACGGTGGAAGCGGCTGAACTCACCACCACACGCCAGCTTCTCTATAAGTGTTCCACTGGTATAAGCTTGCGAATTACGCCTCCTGTGCACCCTCACCAAACCTCTTCCCTGTCCCCCCCGTTCTCCCCATCCCTGCCCATGCCTCTGCTCCCACACAACAGATCAGTGTGGAGGGAGTGACGTACCACAAGCAGTGCTTCCGGTGCGTGCACAGCAACTGCAGCCTGACCACGTCCAACTACGCGGCGCTGAACGGCAGCCTGTACTGCAAGCACCACTACAACCAGCTCTTCCTCGTCAAGGGCACCTACAGCAACATCAACAAGTCCGCTGCTGTCGCTGCTGCCCTAGGCGTGCCTGCAGAGGAGAGCGCCGCAGCACCGGCTGATGGTAGCGGTGGTGGTGGAGGTGCTGCTTCTGGGAAGGCTGCTGCAGGGGACGAATCAACTGCAGGGAAGGAGGAGAAACCAGCAGCGGCGGCGGCAGCGGTGGCCGCGACGACTGCTGCAGCTGCTCCTGCTCCTGCTCCTGCTGCGAAGGCCCCTCCTGCTGCTGCTGCAGCGAACGACAGCGACAGCGATGACACAGACACGGACACCGATAGCGATGACGATGACGACAGTGATTGAACGGGTGCTCTGCGACCATCATGCGCCCTTCAACTTTCAAGACGCGGATGGTGGTAGTAGCAGTGCCGCAGTGCCATGTCTACGTGCTGCCACGCTGCACAGAGTTGAGTACATGAGAAGTTGGAGTTCACCCGTGCGCTTTAGTTGGATTGAATCCGCATGTTTCCCTCTGGCCCTTTTGAAAGCCTAGTAGGTAGTAGGTGTTGGGCTGAGATGCCCTAGGATCTTTGTAGAGTTAAAGTCTGAGTAGGATTGTAATAGCGGAAGCGTTTGAATGAAAAGTCCTTGAACCACCTTGCGCTAGTATGTGAGGGCAAAGTGAGTTGATTAAAACAAGCAAATACAAGGCTTTATATAAGAGTACAAGGAATACGAATAGATATAATTAAACTGTTTTGCTGTTGCGATTCGATACAGTGCGACTCGGGCAACTGCTCAATGTCGAGTCAGTTGTGTGTCCTTGCTGTCGCGCTGTATTTGTCAAGTCAAAGGTCGCTGACTTTTGACCTTCGCGTAACCTCCAGGCGGTTACCCTAACCTCCGAGGGTTGACTCGCGATGCTTCGATTTGGACTGCTTCGCTTGTGTCCTGAGTTTCGACACGACAGAGGCGCTTTAAGACTTATTGTTCCCAACAGTAGGCACCTTGCAAGTTTCCGTTCTCTTTGTTTCTGTTCGAAGAATAAGCTGTTTGGCGCCCCTAGCGTGGCTCTGATGTTTCATATTTTTTACTAGTAATCACCGATAACACGGCCCAAAAGTGGTACGGTACCATTTTTGGCCGCCTCCTACTCCTGCTGCCAGGGCTTAGGTTTGGATTTTGCCTACTCACGATTAGCAGTGTAGACATTTTCAAAACCCTTCTGAGCACTGTGCCCTTTTTGGAAACACTGATGGATCAGTGTAAATTGAAGTTTTGAAAACTTTACCCAGAGGCTTCAGTGTAGGTATATTTTTTACCCTGATTGTACTTTAGGCTGCTCAATATGTGCTGGCTGCAATCAAGCTCGAGGCCCAAATCGCGCACGATTACTATCGTAAGTTGGGCGCTGGTGGGTGGGAGTTGTGATGCGAACTCAAAAGTCGAGCGCAGTGGCTTGTCTGGTTTCGCTGCAACACTTGTATTTTTCGCCAAGTCAGCAAATTTCGAGTGTGTTCGGAAACCTCGAGTCCCAAATTTCCGAGTCAAGAAAGTTGACGTTCTTGCAGAGAGTGCAGCTTCGACCAATCAGGTTGCATCGCCTCTACAGTAACGGGTAGGTTGCAAGCAGACACGGAGTGACACGGTGTCGGTTGTCAGTACTCACGTGTGCTGGCGTCGTAGTGCATCATTACGAAATTGGGTGTATCGCTACGAAAGTTCTAGGAAACTTCTTCTCAATAAGTAGAGTTTCCGAGGGGGGGGGGGGGGAGTCCCTGTACGCTCTTCAGGGTAATCTTCGCTAAGGGAAAAATTACCCCAGAGCATCAGTGTGGCCTAAATCATTACACTTACAGATCAGTGTAACACTAACTCACCAAAAAATTACCCCAGCACATCAGTGTAGACCCAAAAATTCACCCTTGTAATCAGTATAGAAGGGTAAATTACACTGCAAACCTGAGCCCTGCCTGCTGCTGCTGCTGCTGCTGACAGTGATGATGACAGTGCCTGCCACGAACACTGAAGACAACGGCGATGACGGACAGCAATTGAAGGGTATCCAGGACAGGGACCATCATGCTGCAGAGAGGATACGGTAGTTGGTCAGCCATGAAGGCGTGATTGCTATGGTACGGTAGTACCGTAGTAGTGAAACCTGCAGTGCAGTGCCACATATGCATGCCAGGATTCACACAGCAAAGCACATCTCACATGCCCAGCTACCGTAATCCCTCGCATAGTACACCCCCCAAAATAGAACACCCACGGGTGTTCAATTGCGGTGGGTGTACTCAAAAATACCCCAGTTAGAACACCCCCCATTTTTTCTGAATTTTTGAGTACACCCCCCATGACAATTTCATCGTTTTTTGTAACGAAATCTGTTTTTTTTAAGGGAGATTTCAGATCAAGAAGCACGCGCGACCCTTGGAGACAATCGCGCGAGGTGGAGAGGCTGACCCCAATTCGTCACTGCGCGATTGGTGTTGATCCCCCTGGTGTCAGAATGACGTGGCACAAAACCCACGCGTAGTGTGAAAGCTGTTTCAGCTGGTCTCGATAGAGTTCATTGATCAGAATACAGAATACAGATAATTCAAAAGGATTATGTATGCCATTATATAGCACCCATGGGTGCAGGCTTACACCCCCCCCATAATTGAACACCCCCCTAACGGGGGGTATTTATCAGTACACCCTAGGGTGTACTATGCGGGGGATTACGGTAAGTTGGGTTGGGCTGTTTCGTTGTGGTCCTTATGGTCTTATACAGTAGGTATGCATGTATGGTATATGATTTTGTAGGCTGTTACGAGCGCCATTGAGTGGACGAGCGAGAGTTGCACTATTGAAGCAAAACAGTACCGTACATCGAGCCAGGCCCCCAGATTGCAGGAATTTTACCCTGATTTGGGCTTTGAACACTGATTTTCAGGGTTTTTTCAGGACCCAGCGCTGATGAGAAAATTTATTTATTTATGCCTATCCTGATTTTCCAGCTAACTTTTGCGTATTATGCCTGAATTTCCAGCGTGATTTTGCTTGGGGACCCTGAATCGAATCATACAATAGAGGGTACAGGTTTTGTTGCGAAAATGCCTAGATTCAGTTTATCTGGAAAAAAAAAAAAAAAAATTTCCCGCCAATCCGCCGTCACCGTCAATCACGGGAAATGACATATTTACTGTATCCACACACGTACCTGACTTGATGTGTTGTCGCCATCATCTGTCAAGCTCAGGGCTCTCGTTATCAGACCAAATTGGTCTGATGGTCTGATTTTCAGACGTAGATTTTCGCTTTCATCTGATCTCAGACGATGCTTTTTATTTCGTCTGATCCGTAAGATGACTGATTTTAGTTCATCTGATATTTCAGAGCAAGCTCTATAGTTAGTCTGAAATTTCAGAGAACGTGTTGTTTTTCGTCTGATACCGATCCCCCTCCCCCCAACCCTCCCTTTCTCCCCCGATCTCTCGCTACTCTACCAGCTCAGCCCCCCCTTCTATGCTCTCGCTCCTCTTCCAGGCCTAGTCCTGTCCAACCCTTCTCCCCCTTTCCCCAACCTGAGGTCTCTCCAAGTCTCGCTCCCAGCCTAGCCCGCATTCATGCCCCTCCTAATGTCTCGCAGCCCAGCCCCCCCTTCCCTTCGCGTCCCTCCACCTCCACCCACCCTGATCCCTCGCGTCGCAGCCCCTCATTGTCATGTGCATGCCCCTCAATAGCCACACAGCTGTCTGTCAGGTAGCGAGCTGTCAGCACCGCGACAGGGGCGCGTTCATTAACAAAACAAGCGTGATTATGTTAAACAAGTGTGCTAAATCAGACTGTGCAAATTGAATCGTATGAAGAATCAGACTAAGCTTTAACATTCGTCCAAAAAATCAGACCAAAAAAATATGCCCGTCTGAACGTCAGACGGAACGGTTTTTTTACTTAGGTATGCCAGACAGACCCAAATCCTAGCAAGAGCCCTGGTCAAGCTGGCAAGTGATTGGGCAGTTTCAGGTAGTCACACACCGTGCCCAATCACATGGCCAGGGCTGGCAAGATTCCACTGCGTCACGGTCATAAACCGTGACGCTGTAGAATCGTGCCGAAAACAGGGGCACATCCCATTTCGTGGATGGCCCATGAGGGACCATCCACGCCTGCATGGTGGTGTTTGTTGAGGCTGTCAACCAATCACCAACGAGGTGTGGTGACCCTCCCTTCCCCATCCCTTTCACCCCATTCTTGAGCGACGTGTTAGGTCAGGTGTGCTTCGTTCTCGCTGTTTCTTGGCTGACTCTCCACTCCACCCTCCTTCTCTCGTCCTTACTCCCGCCATGGCTGGACCCGTTGATGGTGCTGCTGCCGGCGACGAGGCTAATGACATGGAGATGGAGATAGCACGCACGGGCCTGGACCTGTTGCTGTATTCGCTATCGAAAGCAACCATTCCACCGAGTAGCAAGAATCTGAGAAGAAACGAGAATGAATGAACTATGAATAAATTGGGTACAAGTACTAACCCTAATTGGGTTGTACCCCTTATGGGCTACCCCACTATAGCCTACACAATATGCATGAGCTATAATGTTCTGACACACCCCCATAGGCAAAGTGGGGGAGAACAAGGGGTCACAAGACCAGTCAAGCAAAGCAAAGCAAAGCAAGCTCAGGGTGGATCACAAAGTCACCACACATTCCGAGCACAAGTTCAAGGCCACAAGGCTAGTTCACATACACGAGTACATATATATAAACAAGGCTAGACAAGCAAGAGCAAGTATATGTATATGTAACAGTACAAGCAAGGTCAAGAGGTGAGCAAGTGAGGCAAGGTAGGCACAAGGCCCAGCTGAGTACAGAAGCGCTGATGGTCACAAGGCGCAAGCGACTTGGTGAAGATATCAGCAGTGTTGGCCTCAGAGGCCACGTACGCAAGACGCAGCTGACCACGCTGCTGCAGCTCACAAGCAAGAAAGTAGCGGAGAGCGATGTGCTTCGTTCTGTGCTCCAGTCGCTGCTCCCGACACAAGGCCAGCATGGCCTTGTTGTCTACGTACAGCACTGGAGGAGAACAAGGCGGCTCTCCGAGGTCAGTCAGCAGGTAGGTGAGCCAGCGAAGCTCCTGTGCAGCCATGGCTCCTGCGTAGATCTCAGCCTCACAACTGGAGCCGAGAACAGAAGACGAGCGAGTAGCCCGCCACGAAAAAGAGCCGGAACCAAGGCTGAAGGTGTAACCCTGTGACGACCGCTGCGTAGCCTGGTCGTCAGCCCAAGAAGCGTCTGCGTGCCCAGTAAGGACACCTGGACTCTGCCCTCCAAGCACAAGCCCCATGCCCGACGTACTGCACAAGTAGCGCAACACC